GCCCCTGGACTGGCGATCAGTGGGGCCTCCAGCACAGCCTCAAGCAGATCCATCTGTGCCTGCGGGCAGAGTGCAGAGCCAGAAGCCCGCACTCAGGCCTGGCTGGGCGATTATTGCCTCACACGGCCCACCACTTGGCTGCGTCTCGATTTCCCTACTTGCACCCTGACTATGACCAAGTCTTTCCTTCTCGGGTAGCTGCAATGCCCCAATACAACAAAAAGTTTTCAGCCGAAAAGGGAATTGGGCGGAGCGATTCTGTCCTGTGCTTCTGGCTGCTGACATCCACACATGTGACCTGTGACCTGGGGCACTCCAGACTTCTCGCAGGACTCCATGGGCCTCCGGTCCCTCTGGCACCCACAGGGCACCGCCCACCTCCTCGGAGCCCCGCAGGGCCGGGGCTCGCTTACATAAAGGTGCTGGAGGCCTTTGAAGTCATCCCTGCGGAGCTCCGAGATGTCATTGTTCTGCAGGTCCAGCAGCGTCGTGTCGGGTGAGATCTCCTTGGGCACAGCCTTCAGACCTGGGGGCCGGGGCCACCGTCACCAGCATGAGCGACTCTGAGCACCGGGACACGCACGCGCGCGCACACACAGACACGCACGCAGGGACTCTGCCGCAGGTGAAGGCCCTTCTCACTCCCCACCCGCTTGCAACCGAACAACCGTTCCACACTGAAACCCAGATCCCCAGGCCTGTGTGGGGTCACCCCATCCCTGACCCCACCCTTTCATGCCCATCCCACAAGATGGACACGTGTCTTCTTGGTAGGGCGCTCAGGCTGGGCCTGCGCCTTCATGCGCCTGTCCCGCCCCGGTCCCAGGACTGACCCAGGTCGGAGCACTGAACAACCCGCAGGTGGCAGTGGCAGCCAAAGGGACACATGGCGCTGAAGGTGGGCGGGAGGGAGTCCAGGTCCGGGACCCCTGAAGTTGTCTCAGCACCCGAAGCCTCCTCATCGTTCAGCACGGGCAGCCCGTCGTCCAAGGTAAAGTCCCAGAAGGCCTTCTGCTCAAAGGGCAGAGCCTGGCTCAGGGCCAGCAGGGATGCGAGGAGCCACAGGGGCCGCATGGTGGGTGTGCCTGGGAAGCCAGGGTGGGGAGGGGCTGTCAGGAGGGCCCAGCCGGCACTCGTACCTGCCCTCTGGGCCCTCTCCCGGCAAGCCTCCAAACAGCAGGAGCCAAGGTTCTGCACGTGCTGGCACCCCGTTCGCCACTCCTCCTCACTGGGGACAGCCACACCCCAAGGTAGGAGCGGCCGGGAAGGAGGCGGCAGCGGGAGGAGGTGTGGGCAGGCGGGAGACAGCTCCTGCTCCCCTCTGATCCCAGGCAGGATGCTGGCTTTAATGGGCAATGCGTTGTCTTGCCAGTCGGTGAGTCTGCAGCACTAACCCCCTCCCCCGCTGTCCCCCACACACCACTGAGTCAGCCAGCAGCCTGCCTGGCGGGGGTGTGGTCAGTGAGGCGAGCGAAGGGAGTGGAGGAGGCAGACGGAAACGCAACTATTTGCCCCATACGGGCTTTGAAAGATTTGGATTTGAATGCACTATTGTGGTTCAGGGCAATGTGGGTGCAGTCAGTGTTGAGCTAGACCACCATGAGTCACTTCCTTTCCTGCCTGAGCTCCCCCTTGCAGCACACCCACATTTTTCGAAGAAAACTCGAGGGGCCAAGACACCAGGCTGGGCACGCTGGGCTGAGACCTGGGCTAGCCCCGGGGGCAGTGCGGAGAAAGAGAGCCTTGCGGAAACGGCTGAGGGGAGGGGCACCCACCCTCCCCATTGCTCCCCAGGGCCTCAGCAGCCCCTCCTGGCCTCCAGCGCTTCCCGTGGCTTGGCCTGCAGAGCCCCAGGGCTCGCACATCGGCCCCTGCCTTCCTTCTGCCCGTGGCCCAGCCCCCTGGAGAGGCCACCAGAGGGGAGTAGGCTGCTGCCAAAGTGGCAGGCAGGATCAGGCTTGTCTGAAGGCTCCCCCAGGCCGGGTAGCGGGGTGGGCGTGAGGGGAAGCTGCCCTGCCTGAACCTGCCCCAGGTGCCCATATTTACCCACCTCCTTCCTTCTCCCATCCAGAGAGAGGCCCCTCTGTTGGAAGGTCCTGTGCAGGAAAAGGCCCGAGCCTCTGCCTCTCCCAGCACCCTCACCTACCTGGATTGCCCGGGAAAGTCGCAGCCGGCCTAATTTCCCCATTTGTTATACAGGCATAAGTGGGCCTGCCCTGCTTCCCTCCTAGATTCTGGTGTCTGGGGTTGCCTTGGGGGCATCCGTGGGCAGTAAGCCTGGCCGGGTCCCAGGGGCTTCCTGCAGACCCACACCGGGCCCCACCCCAGGGAGACCCTCCTCACTTGGGGCCCATTTTGGTTGGGGGAGGGGCCGTGAGGGGCTTCAGTGGGGCTGGGTGACCCCTGAGCCTCACTGCCGGATGGAAATGTGGAAGGAGTCCCTGCGGAGTGGAGGGCCTGTGTACTCTAGGCCAGCACCTTGTGAGCAGCTTGGCCCTGCCTGCTGCTTTCCTGGGCAAGCCCAGTTGGTGTGGGCCTGGGCTGGCTGCAGCCGGCTGCCCCCCAGAATCCTCCCAACCAGCAGGCCAGGGGCCTGGGACCACCTCCGGGTCTGGGCACAACTGCTCTATGCCCCGGGTTCCCATCTATCCCAGTCTTGCCACCCCCTTCCATACTCAGGCACCCCCTCAGTGGGTCATGTAGCTTGCCCTGGCTCCCACCATCCCCAAGGACAGAGTGGGAGAGAATGGAGCAGCCTTTCTGGCAACCAGGCCTGCAGTGTACTTGGCCAGCAGAGGTCACGGACCCAGGACATGGTTCAGTGGACTCAGCTGGAGAGCCAGCCCCAGAACGCCCCCAGCAGGTTCCAACAGCCCTCCTGAGTGTGGCCCCCAGGGACAAGCTCAGAGAAGCTGCATGCCTGTCCCAGGTCACACAGCAAAGCAAAGGTCCCCCATGTCGGGGGAGCACCCAGTGTGCCTGGCTCCTTCAAGCCCCAACACCCCACGATCACACCCAGGTCCTGCCAGCCCCCGGAAGGTCACGGTGCCGAGTAGGGAGAAGGCCCCGTGCTTGCCTACCTGGGCAGTGTGTCCCTCCTTCTTCCCCTGATTCTGCAACCTCCAGGGCAGAGCAGGGTAGGCCTAGGCCTCGAGTGCCTGCTGCTGCTGCTTGGGGCCCTTGCCTGGGAGCCACTGGACGCCTGGGGCTGGGAGGAGGAGGAGTGGTAGGAGAGAACAGGAAGGGGAGGATGGAGGCAGGAGAGCAAGATGGAGTGGGAGAGAGGGAGGAGACTGTTCCCTTCTTGCCTGGCACCCCTGCCACAGCCGCTACCTCACAGGGGGGATGAGTCAGGGCTGGAACGCCCAGTGGGAGCCTTGGAAGGCTTTGGGATCCACAGTTCACCTGGATAGGTGGGGGTGGGTGGGGTGGTCTGGCCAGGCCCAGGGAAGGCTGTGGGGAGAGGTGGGCAAAAGCAGGCCTCTTCTAGCCTGCCAGGGCTGGGAAGGGCTGGGGGTCTCCACAGGGAACCTCCGCCCCCCCCATCGGGCCCCTCCACCAGAGTAGGGGATGGATGGCCCTGGGAAGGCCAACCAGGGCAGGACAGGCCACCCAGGCTCCACGTGGGCTCCCGGGACCTGTCCCGGGGGGATGGGTGCTCTAGACGAGATGAATCAGCTCAAACCAGCCATGCTTGATGTCGCTGCATCTGGGGGCCACAGAGAGGCTGAGGCAGCGGCCATAGGCTCCAGCGCAGGCTCGTTCTTGGGGGGAAGGGACTGAAGCTGAGGGCTTGGAGGCCCTATACCAGGGCCCTGTGACAGAGGCAGAGGACAAGGTGTGGCTGGTTCTCCCGCCACCCGCCTCTGGCCGGGCCCAGGCAGTGGAGCAGCTGGAAGGGTGGGGGCTGGGCAGGCTTCCCAGCAGAGCCTCATGTCCACTCTGGGAGCCGGCACAAGACTCGGCTGGTAGAACTGCATGGCAGAGTGGTGGTGGTGGGGGGGGGGGCTGGCCGGACAATGGACCTGAGGGGCCTTGAGCCCCATCAAAGTGCGCTTGGAGCTCGCTGGACACCGCCCCCCCAGCCTCCCTGCTCAGAGCAAAGGAAACAAGTGGTCACAGTGGTGAGGCCTCCGGCCCGGTGCCCACAGATGTGAGCAAGGGAAAAGGCCGGGCTTCCTGGAGCCTGCACCGCCAGACCAATAGGGCCTTCCTTGTCTAGCCCTCTGAAAGCCAGCGCAGTCCTCCGAGTGGGATTGCTCCAGGTCAGCGCCAAACAAGACGCATTGGCAGCCTCTGAGAACATGGAGGGGCCGTGCCAGGCATTCAGGCCAGGCCAAGGGCGGCGGGAGCAGGACTCAAGGTCTGGCATGGCCTGGGAGCTTGCTTGCAGATGTGTGGCCTGCTGCTGCCAAGTCGTAGACGCCGGCCGGGCACCGTCCTGAGGCCTCAGCCCAGGGTGTCTGGCCCCACGGAGCAACCCGACCTGAACTCTGGCGTGCGTGCCACCATCTACCTAGCCCTGCCGAATCCCTGGGGCTGCGTGGATGGGGAGGGTTGGGAGGGGGCCGGGCAACGCAGGGTACCCTTCCCCCCCCACCCCCCTCTGTCCGCCAAATCCCTCAGGGGCCAGCTTCAAACAACAGGCCGGAGGCAGGGGCACTGTGCAGAGCTGTAGTCCCGGCTGCTCCCTGCTGCCCTCCCAGGCCCCAGCCCACTGACGCAGAGAGCGGGGACACATGCCACCCATGGGTCTGCTGAAGCCTACGCGGGTGCGTGTGTGTGAGAGGGTGACCGTGCGAGGGGCTCGTGGCTGGAGTGGGGAGGGGGCAGGCCCTGAGCCCCACCCCATCTGCGTCTGCACCCCAAGCCACCGTCGGCTGCAGGGCGAGCAGACGCCTGAACGTGGCCGGCCAGGGCAGCTCTTTCCTGCCGTGGCCCTGGCACTGCTGGTGTGACTGGACGGAGCTGGGCCCCGGGCTCTGTCAGCCTTCAGGGAGAGGCATGACCTGAATGCGGGGGTCGGAGGCTGTAGGGAGCCAGCAGGGAGCCGGCCCTCTGGCTACAGAGGGCTGGGCCCAGGGACCCGACAGGGTGGCCCGTGCTGGCTCGGTCAGACCTCTCTCCCCACAGCATTCAGGAGAGCCGTCCACCCCTCCCCCACTCTGCCGGGAAACCTCTGGAAAGCAGGAGGGTCAAACTGTTGGCCAGGAGCCAGGCAGCAGATGACCCAGGTCAGCTGGGGGTCCTGAGTTTCCGGCTCCTTTCACACCTGAGCCGTGTGTCCTTCCTCCTCCTCCCACTCACTGAAGAAACCCTGAGCTCCTCCTCACCACGTTCTAGAATGTTTGAGGAAGAGGGTGGATGCTATCGTCTCCCAGGGGCGGGGCAGGGGACTTAAACATAAACATAAACATAGCCCTCCCAAAGACCAAAAGAAGCAAGAGCTGTTTTTACCACTTAATGAAGAGGTAAACTGAGGCTCAGACTTTGCCCAAAACTCTTGCCCAAGGCCACACAGTAAGGAAATGGTAGAACTGGACTCCACTGTCTGTCTGTCTACCTGCCCATGGAACTGGCCCCACCCTCTGTCATTGCAGACTGTGCCGCAGGTCCCAAAGCCACAAGACCCTCTACTCCCTAGGCTGCGCAGGGGGCTGGATCAGCCCCTGGGTCCCTGGAAAAGACTCCTCGGCAGCTCCCTCACCTGAGCTGGGAGGTGATGCTGGTGGAAAGCTGGGCCCTGCTCTGTGGGCCCTTTACGCCCTTGCGGGCATCATGACTCCTCTGGCAACACGGGGCCTCTCTCTGACCGCTGAGAACAGTAGCGCCCTACTGTCTGGAGGGCCAGCCGCCCCTCCGTGGCCCCAGCACACCCCCCAGCGCTTGCTTCAGGTCTGCAGAGGCATGGAAAAGCCATCATCCCAGCCAGGCCAGGGAGCTTCCCTGGAACATTTTAGGTCCCAGCAGGCACCAGACCCCGAAGGGAGATGTTCTCAGCCTGGTTCCCAGAGCCCGGCGCCCCCCCTGCCTTGCTCCCTGGCTGGGCTAGGCCAGGCCAAGGCAAGGGGGCTTGGCCCTGCCTTCTGGGCAGAAGACTGGCCAGGCCCCTGGGAGTGAGACCCTTCCCTTCCTGGGCCCAGAGTTTCCTGCAGCTCCTTCCCTGCATCGGGTTCCCTGTTCTCTGCCGGGAGATCTGGCTGGGGGTGGGAGCCCTTGATTATGGTCCATCAGGGCCTTAGAGGCCTCTCTCTCTGCCCTCTGCCCCTCTCCTTCAAGTCCTGCTTCTGTTCCCCAAATCCCCAGTCCTGCAGCCACTTGCGCCTGTGTCTGTCTGCTGTGTTCCACTTGGCCATCCGACCCTCAAGGGGCAGATGGTGGGGGAGAAACAGGGGTGAGCTTAGAGTCACAGAGTCCTGCAGCTCAGCCCCAGGCTGGTGTTTGTGGAGTTTGGCTTCCAGATGCCATGGACTGGGAGAGCTGAGTGCTAGGAGACTGGGTGGAGACCCCAGCCCCTTAAAACTGAGAGATGTGTTACCACAGGGAGGGGCTGGTGAGTCATCTGAGTTCTGGGCTCCCAGGGATGACAGTGATGTTGTTCTGTAGGCTGCCATGGGAACTGAGGCTGGTGGGTCCTAGGCAAGAAGGTGTCTTCCATGGCCATCCCATGAACTGCCCTGATCCAGAGCAGGGCAGTTGGGGGGGACACGAGAAGCCAAATGGGGTGGCTTTGGGGCAGCTCCCAGGAGCCTGGAGTCCTAGAGGGAGTGAAGGAAGCCCCGGGGGGACGCTCGGGCTGTGGGCTCCAGGTGAGGGGGCGATGAATCACAGCCACCCACCCCCTAGAGGAGCTGGCCACGAGGGCCCCGCCCCATGCCCACCCCAGGGGCCACTGGGAGGCTGGCCTGACCACGGGGCCGGCCAGTTGGGCTTAATGGGCCTCAGGCCCGGGAGCAAGACTGAGCAAATACCTTCCCCATTCCCCCAGCACAGCCCTCCTCTGCCGGCCCCCTACTGGCTCCCTCTAAGGTGGGATTTACAGAAGGCATCCTGTGGGTGATCAAGGTGTGGGCCCCAGTGTCTGAGCAGAAGAGGACAGGAGGGAGGGGAGGGGCACTGACTGGCACTAGGGTCAGCTAGATGGGGGGGGGCAGAGCTGCCAGGACCCTGCCTTCAGGGAGAGCTCTTGCTCAACACCCCCCAACTCCACGGCTCACAGGGAGGGTGCCTGGGAGAGCCACCATCACCCCTCTTGCCCCTCAATTTGAGCCAAGCCCTTGGGCTGGTGTGTCCCCTCGCACCAATGGGGCCAACAGGTGTGGAAGGAGGCAGCTCCGGGCAGAGACCAAGCTCTCTCAACCTGGGGTGACCGATGAGGAGGGTGGGGAGGGAGTCATGGTGGGGGTGGGAAGACCTTTTTTACAATCAGGGGTGTTGGAAGGTCCCTAGAGATGTGCAAGACAAATGACCGAGTGGCTCAGCAGATGAGGCTTCAGAGGCCTTGGGGCTGGGCCTGGGACCGTCCGCCGGAGGGGGCAGGGTGGACGGCACCTGCCAGTGCCCACTGCTTGTGTGCCCCAGAGAGATCCTGCGAGACGGCTGCGTCCCCAGGCTGCTAAGGACAAGTGACTGCTGGGGCAGTCCTGTGCTGCGCTGTCTCCACGGGGCTTCCCCAGGGAGCGGAAGAGGGATGGCAGTGAGTGGCCCAGGAAGCAGGGCAGCTGGGAGAGATTGGAGGCCCTATTGGAAGGCTCTGCCCTCTTGTGGGGACTTCGCACTGGCACCGGAAGGGACACTCTGGGGTCTCTCAAACACTCCCGTTCCTCCTGTCCTTCCTTGTTTATGCTCCTCCAACGGGCCAGGGCCACTGGTAAGATGGGGAAGAAATTTCGTCAGAGGACTGGCATGCCAGCTTTCTGGGCCCCTGAAATGAGCCTGCACAGAACTGCCCCCAGCCCATCAGCGAAAAAGCTGGCCTTCAGACTCCCCGTCCACAAAACGGGCACTCGAGTCCCTGCTCCAGGGCAGGGCACAAAAGCCGTGGGATGGTTTGTGCCCACTGTGACCTGGGTTCTTGGGGCTTAAAGGTAGGCCAGTGGGCGGGCGGGTGGGCCAGGCTCCCAGTCTGCTCTCGCCGTCCAGTGTGGTGCCTTCCTTTCGAGGCACCCCCACCCTCCTGCCCTCCAAGGCTACCCCGAGCTGTCCCCCCAGAGCCTCTGCCTGAGCAGCTGGTGTCTCAGGGAGCCGAGGCCCAGGCAGCTGCATGTCTCCAGGAGGCGCTCCCCTGTGTGTTCGCGGCCGCCCGCCCGCATTCTCACCCCGCACCAACCCTGTCCCTGCGGGGACCTCCCCCAGGAACCTTCTTTCTTGGCACTGAGGGAGGCCTGAGCATCTCCAGCCTGTCTCAACGCCACTGAGTCCCTGTAGGGTGGAGAGTTGGCAGGCCAGGGAGCAGGGGTAGGACTGGCCATATCTGCAACCAGAGTGGCCCTTCACGAACACTGTTCGAGAACAGTCTCCCTGGCCTGAACGAGGTCTACCCTGCCTGCCCTAAGCCACCACCCTGCCCTGGAGCACCCTGGGCCTCCTGCTCCCCTCAGCAGAACCAACTCGGGCAGCCCTCACGAACCAGTGCCTGGGCCACAGCCCCACCCACGGGGCAGGGAGGGGGGTGCTCCCATCCCCCAACCTCCAGGGCACTTGGTGACACGTGCAGAGAGCTCCATTCAGCCTTGCTCCTCTCCTGGGTCGCTTGGCACGCCCCGCAGCATGCCAGCCATCTTGGGGACTTGCAGGACAGGCCAGTGGCCCTGTCACCTCCCACTCCAATCCCCACGCGGTGCAGTTGGCCACAGGTCGTCATTGTCAATGCCCAAGTGACTTTGAGGCTTCCCTGGGTGGTATGGCATCAATAGCCAGGGCTTGTCAGTCAGGAGCCCTGGGTCCTGGCCCCAGCTTTGCATCTGACTTGCTGTGCAGTTGTAGGCAGGTTCCTGCCTGTCTCTGGGCCTCACTGGTCCCCTTTGTACAATGGAGGGAGTGGGGGTGAGACCAGCAGGGGCCACTCCTCCCCTCCCAAAGCACTCTGGGCGGCAACCTTGCAACTATGCTTTTGCTTCAGACCTGGGGTTCTCCCTCCAATCTAGAGTCGCCCCATGCACCAGTCAGTGGGGGGCTGCTTTTGGGGGACAGAGCTCTTGAACCTCACTGATCCTTAAAGGCATCCATCCTGGGACAACGGTGTCTGAGTTTGAAAGTGGATCTGTGGCCTCACCCCTCCCCAGGGTCCCCAGAGACCCTGCAGCGTCCCAAGCTAGGCCTGCCCAGGCTAACATGGCATTTCCCCACCCCCATTCTGAGTCAATCCAAGGGGGTCCTGGGGACAGGCAGAACTGAGCCACCCAAGCAGCCGCACCCAGGGACCCTGTGGCCAGGGCCCTGTGGACCCGCCCCTCACTCAGGAGGAGGTAGAGGAAGGGAATTAGCCTGTGAGGAAGGGAGAAATATCTGGGCAGGCTGCCTGGGGTGTGCGGGGGAAACCAAGTCTCCGAGCCCACACCAAGGGCTGGTGCTGGGCAGTGCGGACTGTTCCCCAAGGGTGCCAGAGCAGAGCGCAGAGGGAACCCCGCAGGAGTGCAGGGTGCTCTCAGGGACTCAGGGACTCCCAGTGAAGGACGAGGGCTCCTGGCAGAGCTGGGATGCCAGCCACCCAGCCATGCCTGGGCCATGCTCGGGGTTGGGGCGGGGGGGAAGTCAAGGGGAAGAACCTGAGAGGGAGGCAGGGAGGGTAGACATGCAGTGTTGCTGAGTGAGGTCAGAAGGGAGAGGAAAGGGGGGGCAGAAAACACAGAAAGGGACAAGGACTAAGGGAGCTGCAGCGTGGTGACGAAGGGGTGTGGGCCAGTGGGAATCGTGCCTGGAGGTAAGGGGCTGGCAGAGACAAGGGTAGGGATGTGGAGGGGTGGTGTGGGGGCAGCAGGGACGGGCGGCATCTCCAGGATGGTGAGGGGACAGTGGAACCAGGGATGAGACAAGGAGGGGACAGCAGGGACAGCCGGGGGGGGGGGAGCTGGTATGGGGGGCCCTACCTGGAGAGGGCAGGCAGCCGGGCACAGGCTGGCTGGTTGGCAGGCTTGGGTGTCAGGCAGTCAGTGCGTCTGTCCGTCTTCGTCGGGCCCTCCGAGAGCAGCTGCTCACTCCGGGGCAGTTTGTGGAGAGAGGGAAGACAGAGGCGGTGGGAGGGAGGCTAAAGGCTGGGCGGGCTGGCCGACAGGGAGGGGACGACGGCAGGAGGGGGCGGGGAGGGAGGGAAAAAGGGAGGGGGCTGGTGGGGCGGAGAGGGAAGGAGAGAGGGAGGGAAGAAGGGAGGGAGGGGGCAGACCTCCGGGGGCCCCCCTGGAAGCTTCAAAGGGAGCAATTTTCTTCTAGACGGCTGGGCTAGCTGTCCCCCCACCCACCCACCGCCCCAGGCACATGGGGAAGGTCCACACTCTCACTCACACAAGGACCCTTGGTGTCTCTGGGCAGGCACAGCCTTAGATAGTCAAATTTTCCACTGCCCAGATAGGGACACTGAGGCCCAGAGAGGGGCAGGAACTGGCTTGTTGGCACTTGCAGGCAGAGAGCAGAAAGGGAAGGGAGGCGAGGGGGAGGCGGCCTGTGGTTGCTAGTCCAGCGAGTGGCCCCTGGAATTCTGTCCTGAGCTCGCCCAGAACCTCGGGCAGCCTGGGCCTGAACAAGGAGGTGGTTCTCCGCAGGCAGGGAGGCAGCTGTTGCGGATTTCTGGATTTCAGCAGGCTCCCAGGTACTCTGGACATCCCAGCCCCCCACTCCACTCCAGTCTTTTTTCCCTGGAAAAGAGGACTGGTCTTCTCTGTGTGAACTCAAGATGGGACTCAGCTGGGGACTGACAGGAAGGCGTCACAGACTCTGGGGGTCTTCCCTAGCTTGCCTACCCTGAGGCTCAGACAAGCTGAGAGTGGAAAAGTGAGTCATCTTTCTTTGCTCAATCCGTGCGGTCCCCTAGGAGGCAATGAATACTCTGTGGGTGGGCACTTCCTCGGGGCTGAGCCCTGTGCGGGCCACTCATAGGGTCGAACTGGGCCAGCCTGCCAAACGTCCCAGGAAGAGGCCACCATCAGCCACAACCCCACATGATCACTGGAAGCCCAGCTCTACCTGTGTCTAGAGCCCAGGGCCTTAGCACATGTCCTCTCTGTCCAGTGGGGTCCCCTTCTTCCCCTGGTCTGTGTACCCACAGGAACTAAAGAAGGGACGGAACGCCCCTGAGATCAAAAGAGAAAACTGCATGGAGAGATGACAAACTCCACAGGCAGAGGCTGAGGGAGGTGGGGGAGAGGTGGGTCCCAGAAGGGAGAACAGGAGTGAGGCCTGCGGGTCCTGAGCACCTGGCCAGCTGTGCAGGGCCACGTGCAGGTGGGGTCTAGAAGGTTCTGCCTGGGGATGTGGCTGGGCCCGGATCCCCTTCCATGTGCACCAGTATCAGTTCAGGGCCCCCGGCCGAGGACTGGAGACACATGGTGGCCTGATCAAGCCATGGTGCCTGCCTGCAAGAAGCTTCCAGGCCACGGAGAAAGGAGATGCGGGAAGAACAGGGTCTGGGGTGGGAGCTCTTGTTTTCATGGGTGAGGCGGCTGCAGATGCTTGGGACCTGGAGACTGGAGAGAACACATGCCCTTCCAGACAAGGGGAGTCGTTTGTCTGCTTGTTTGTTTGTGTTTTTTACTGTTTATTGGAGACATACTCAAACGTCTCTGGCAGTAGAAGCCCACGTAGCGTCCCTGAGCTCTGGCGTCCCCAGTCATAGTGCCCCCATCATGGATAAAACACCGTGCTCTGTGAAAGGGGCCCATCACATATTGCATGATTCCACATGAAACATCCAGAATAGGCAAACGTATAGGGACAGAAAGCGCATGAGTGATTTCTTAGGGCCAGGGGGTAAGTGGGGGGATAGAGGGTGGCAGCTGAAGGCATCAGTTTTCTCTTCCAGGTGATGAAACTGTTCTAAAGTTGACTATGGTGATGTTGCACACTGAACATACTAAAAACCACTGAATTATACATTTTATTTTATTTTTTTAAACATTTTATTTTTTATTTGTCAGAGAGAGAGAGAGAGAGAGAGGGAGATCACAAGCAGGGGGAGCGGCAGGCAGAGGGAGAAGCAGGCTCCCCGCTGAGCACAGAGCCCGATGCGGGACTCGATCCTAGGACCCTGACATCATGACCTGAGCCGAAGGCAGATGCTTTACCGACTTGAGCCACCCAAGGGCCCTGAATTGTACATTTTAAATAGGAGAATTGTATCTTAAAAAAGCTCTTTTTAAAAAAGAAAAAAAAAGTAAGACATGCCCGTTACCCCAAGGAGCCTTTAGCTGCATCTAAAGCCCCACCTGGCCTTGTGCCCCCAGGCCACCCTCCACTGGCCCTGCACGGCTCTGGGGGCTGGTACCCTAGGAGCCAGCCAGCACTCAGGTCCTCGGCCTCCAGGAGTCCCAGCGGGAGCAAAAAGAGCCCTGAATACGGTGGCTGGAGCTCTGCTGGGGAAAGGCACTCTGGGGGCTCCAGGGCTGAGCTCTGAGCCCCGCAGGGAGGGGCCAGGGGCACTCTTGTTTCTTGCTTCCCCAGGGCCACACACAGCACCAGAGACTCGGAAAGGCTTCCTGGAGGAAGTGACTTAGAGTAGACAAGAGAAAAAGGAGGGAAGGGAAGTGTTGGCAGAGGAAGGGATAGCACACAGCAAGGCGCAGAGGGTGTGGGGACCAGCGGGGAGAGAGTATCACCCCAACTAGGTGGGGTAGCCTCAGTGTCCCCTGCACAGTGCACAGCCTTGGGTGTTGACCAGGCATGCTCCTGGAGGGAGCTTGGGGGTGATGACGGGCAACACCCTGCACAGGGCACATTATGCACCCTGGAGCTCTTTCCTGCAGTTGGGGGATGCATCTGGGGCAGTATTTCCGTAAATACGGCTCTTGCGCCTGGAAGGCTCTTGTGTCTGTGGTTTGCAGTCTGCAATAAGGCATAACTGAGTCACTCGGCCGGCCTGGCCCTCTAATTTGGGGGCCACTCCCAGACCAGCCAGGCAGCACCTCAGTCCTGAGCCTTCCCCTTCCTCCTCCCTCTCCCCGCAGCCCAGGGACAACCTGAAGCCCAGCTGGGAACAGCCTGTCCTTGTGGCCCCCTGCCGTCTGGCAGCAGGAGGCAGAGGAGGGCAGGCATGGAGGGCAAGGCCGGAAGGAAGAGCACGCATTTCCTGAGGCCCCCAGGCTCTGGAGGAGGCCCATGCACAGCTGTCTTAGCTCCACAAGAACACGTGCTAGACAGGGCTGGCCAAGTCATGGGGGTCAGGGGAGCTGCGAGAGGCAGAGCCCGGCCTCTGCCAGCATGAGCCCAGGGGGACAAGGGCCGTCTCCCAGCATGCCCTGGACCTCCGGGACACCACCAGACAGGCAGGCCCCCAAAGCCCGAGCGTGGACACTTTCCCCAAAGGGCTACAGAGTGCTGGCTGATCCTGACGCTCTAGGCCCCACTGCTGGCTCCCTGCTCAGAGCAGCCGGCCCGCAGCTTGCTGGCCCAGCCCGTCCCCCAGGACCCAGCCTGGAGCCCTAGAGTACAGGGAAGGTGCCTGGAGGTAGCATGGCAGGGGTAGCAGTTAGGGGACAGGAGGGCTGGCAAGGGCAAGGGTGCTAAGCAAGGGCGCGCATAGGAGGGGAAGGCAGGGCCGGTAAGCAGCTATGGGGGGCTCCTGGGGCAGGGCAGTCTGAACCCATTTCCATCCTGTATGCCTGGGTGCGAAGGACCTGGAGTCAGCTGCAGCCTGTCCCCAAACAGCTGTGTGTGTCCTGCCTTCAAAGTGAGAGAGGGAGGCCCGGGAAAGAAGCAGGGCACACGGCAGGCAGGCTTCGAGTCTCGGCTTCCCTTTGGGCATGAAACTCTGCCTCTGGTGGGGCTCCCTGGAGGGTAGAGTCTGGAAGCCTGGGAGGTGGCCCAGCATGTCAAGGCCCAGGGGCTTGAAAGGGACCCCTACCGAGGTGACAGCAGTTGAGAGAGCTGCCCCTGAGCTCCAGCCCACCCAGCTGTTGGTCCCATGAGCCTCTGGGGCCTGGAAAGAACAGCATGGCCCTGAGCTCCAGGGGCCCTCTGGCACCCCCTTCTGGGCCCTTCCTGGCCTCCCTGCCTTGCTGTGTCTGCCTAGGCCCCTGCTCATTCCTCTCTGCCTCTACACGTCGCTCCCCCTGTCTGTTCTTCCTGGCTCCTTGCTCCTTCCTTAGATCTCCCATCTGTCTCTCTGTCCCTTTCCTGGGCACTGAGTCAGTCAGTCAGCCTCACTGCTCTCCGCCCCCCTGAGCACACGTGCTACTGGATCAGAAGCGAGGATGTGCTTGGAGAAGCGTGATGGTGAGCAAGTGTGACGAGCGCTACAGAGGAAAGCACACAGGCCTAGGTACTAGCACAGGATGGGGGCGCAGAGAGGACTTCCTGGGGGGAGGTGGCTCTCCAGCGGCCCCCTGGGCTGCCTTCCAGCCCTTCCCTGGAGTGCTCACACAGGGTTCTTGCAAAGCCAGCCCAAAGCAAATGCTCTCACCCCAGGGAGCCCCCTTACGCCCCCGTCTCCAGGACAAGTACCCGGCAGGGTCGCAGCACATACACATGGAGGTCACTTCTTGAGCAAGCGACCCCACCCGGAACTCAGCCGAGATCTCCGAGAGGGTCCTCGAGGCTCCTGGGCACTGCGGCCCCTTGAAGCCAAGCCAGCATCTCCAAGTTCACGGCCTCGCATGTGGGCCTCGCTCACAGCCTGCTGGCTTCATCCACTCCCAACCTCCACACCCTCAGTGGTGGGGCAGCGACAGTGGGGAGCCAGGCCTAAAGTCACCAGGGGGCAGCCCCTCCCAGCCGGAGTGTCTCTGGAGCCTAGGGTCCTAACGTTCGGGAGCCCCGAGGTAGCATACCTAACCGTGCTCAGGGGGACCCTCTGGGTGCAGGGGGCTGGGCACCATTCCCCATGAGGCTCACGTTAAACAGACCCAAGAGGGAGCTGAGACGCTGCAGAGCGGGCCGAGCCTCTGCCGTCTGGAAGCTTCCCAGCGCTGATAGCCGAGGTGTGGCCAGTGGAAGCTGGCACTCTCTCTGCCAGAGCTTTTTTTGACCTTCCCCTGAGGACATAATCACACAGCGGCTCTCTGCCCCAGGCCGCCAGGGCTGTAATTCCAGGGCCCGAAGGGGTCCCCACGGAG